TGTCAAATTATCTACTAAGACTAATAATTGCTATTACTCTTCTTTTCCTTCCTAGTACCTATCTCTTCCCACTTTTGACTATAACCATGTTTCTTGTATCTTTAAAATTTATCTTGTTTTATTTGTTTCCTAGTATGATTTGATTGCTTATTAGTAACCTATGATGATCACTAAGTGTTGGATCTTAGGATTCTTGATGAATGTATTGTATTTTATTTTTCTTTATGTACACTGAGAGCATATGCACCAAAGACAAATTCCTTGTGTGTCCAATCACATTTGGCCAATAAAGAATTCTATTCTATTCTATTCTATATATGCCAAACCATAACATTGACACCAAAGTAAGAAGCCCTAAAATTGCTGTGAAGAAGTTGCAATAATCTCACTATTTTGGCTGCATCTTATATATTAAAACCCAACTCTGCAAGAGTGTTTTTAAAGTTACCTCAGCCCTCAAGAAGCAATTAATTGGAAGCATTTCAGTTACTGCAATCTGTGAGATGAATTTCAGGTAGTCCTCAACTTACAAGAGTTTGTTTAGTGACCGTTCAAAGCTACAACAGCACTGAAAAAAGTGACATGATTTTTTTTCACACTCACGACCGTTGCAGCATCCCCAAGATCATGTGATGGCTGGTTCATATTCATGACCATTGCAGTGTCCCAGGGTCATGTGATCACCTTTTGCGATCTTCTGAAGAGCAAAATCAATGGAGGAGCCAGATTCACTTAACAACCCGGTTAGTAATTTATCAACTGTAATGCTTCACTTAAAAACTGTAGCAAGTGAGGTTGTAAAGTGGGGCAAACTCGCTTGACACACATCTCGCTTAACCACAGAAATGTTGGCATCGATTGTAGTTGAGGACTACCTGCATATTTCACAGACTAGTATCATGAGTTGATGGCAGGATGGATGTGAGTGGCAAATCACTTGTTTGCCACTTGCTTCCCCATCATTCTCTTTAGTGCTCCAAGAAATTACCTATCACTTCAATTTATGGGGTAGGCACATTCCATACACAACACTGAGCTCCAAGCAATCACCATTTTTCACAGACTGTCAGCTATATGTCTCAAATACTTTCTTAGAAGTAAAGATAAAGGTATAATTTGTGTTGTAGTACACCGACTTCCTATTTATTTTTAATTTTAAAAAGGATAACAAAAATCAAAACAACCTGGTGGTCAAAAGAATATCGTAGGCATGCTAAGCAATGTGCCCACATTGCCTATCCCGCCTACATAATGCAAAATTCCAGCCAGGAATCTTGGAAGCAGGAAACACTGAAAATATAGCCATTTTTCCACAGATGATTCTGTTAGAGCCTCATTTCTAAATTTGTGTAATCTCCCTCTAAAAGCTTCTAATTCCCTTTTGTCTGAAATTGTATAGGGTTTCCTGCCTGAGCAGGGGGTCGAACTAGAAGACCTCCAAGGTCCCTTACAACTCTGTTATTATTCTCTTATTCCTTTTTACCTTTGTTTCCTCCCCCCCCCCCAAGTCTTACCTGTTAGTATCTCTGGCCACATCTTCATAAATGCTTTGTACTCCAATCTCCAGCCTTGTGCATCCATAGGACAACATGTCACTCAAATGCCGTTTTAGACAATAATCTGGCCTGGTCTCTATAGTAATCCCAATGCACTTTGTAAGGCTTCGCTCAGAGTATCTGTAGAAGGAAGTAATAGGCAAAGTGAGGTGAAAAAGAGCTGCAAATGAAATGGGTTAAGTTTAGTCAAGATTGTTCATGTTATGGTCCACAGGTTACATCTATCTAAGCTGGCACAGCTCATTACAATCACTGGCTTCGGAGAATATTTTAGCAAATCATTTTATGACAGCTATGACAATGGTGCATTCAGAACTGCCTCTAAATCTCTGCAGTCTGCCACTGAAATATTGTGTAAACTAGGATCTTTTACTAAAAGATAGTCTGGAGCTGATCACACTTGTGATTATCCATTGCAGTGAAAAACTATGCTGCCTCATGTCATAATAGCTTTGAAGAAAAAGGACATTTGCTTGAATGTTTTCTCTTTTCAGGACACTATTTGCTTCAGACATGTTTCAACGCGAACTAGTTTTAAAGAAACGTTAATTCTACTTCCAATATTAGAAAACAAAGAAGTTTTTTCCCCCTCTATGACACAGATGTCAAACTCGTGGCATCACATTGCAGTCACATGATGTATCACAACGGTTTTCCCTTTGCGGAACTCGGGGTGGGCGTGGCCTGCATGTGACACATCCGGGCCATACACCGTCAGTTTGACACCTCTGCTCTATGAAAAGAACCAGAGAACAATGCCAGTGGGTTTCTGGTATTCACAAATGCAAGATTTTTTTCACAATTTTATGATAGACAAATCAACATGTGAATTGTCTTGAAAATGTTCCTGAAGCTCACCAAAGACTGGTGCATGTCTACTGTGCTTCAAATAACTGCAGCCTTGACTTCAGTGCACGCCTGTGCATAGTGTATTAGTATTTAATGGGACTGATTTGCAGATATATACAGATGAGCCACCTCATTCAAGGCTAGCACAAGAACTGGCTATCCTCAAATGAAAACCTGTGAGTCTTGGTACTTAAATGTTTTTAAATGTTTTCACATTTAAGGGAAATGCTGATCTGAAATATCTCAATGAGAAAAAGCAATCAATATTAGTCAACATTATTAGTGTGTAGACATTCTTTTATTTCAGTTAAAATTATCATTATTTTATACTAGCTTTTTGGAGCAGTATTGCTCTATTAAACATGGTTTTGGCTATTATTTCAGGTAGTTTGAGAATTGTGCCACAGGCTACTATGTCGCGAGGTAGCAACAAAAGGCTTGGAAAGGATATTCAGATGCTATGTCTATACCTACAAAGATCACAACTGTGAAGACAATGCTTTTCCCTGTGACAAAAGTATGAAAGTTTGAGTTTGAAGGAAAAAAATAGTATAGAAAGAGCATTGACCCTTCTGAACTTTGTTGCTGGAGAATACAGCAACAAAGAAAACAAACAAATAGATCACAAAACAATAAATCAGTGTTGTCACTTGACATGCAAATGGTATGGCTCTATGATATTTTGGCATAGTATGTGAAGAACCAGTTCTCTTAACAAGTCCATCATGCTGAAAAAGGTGGAAGGAAATAAAAGAAGATGACCAAGGTGGATAGACTTGACTTATAGTGGTGATAGGTACTTACCGTAGCTGGGGCAACCTAAAGAACTAGATGGTGATAGATGCTCCTGAAGAAGGTCTATCTAACAACCGATAAAGGTGTAAGGGTACGTGATCAATCAATTCCAGTGGATAAATAATTTTGCCTTGTATTTTATTACTTTCATTGGATTTTAATTCCTTCAGATTCAATTTGAATCTGGGAAGTGGGGTACTGTTCATCAGCCTTTCCCAAGTTACTGAACTCTAGATGCTGCATCACAATCTGAAAAGGAATCCATTGCTCAATCTTGGAATCCACTGGAAGCAAAATCTAGCTCCTGTTGGAGAGACTATAATTATACTCTCTAGAGAATCCTTAAAAAAAACCTTGTTGCCTCTGGTCTGCCAACTTCCTGTAACTACTGTGAAGCTTTTACTTTCAGCCACATCCCACGCTGCAGGGAAGAAGTAGTTTTCAGAAGCCTATTTTCAATGAATGAATGAATGGTGGAACACAAATTTTCCGCTGATGACTAATATATAGTGCACTGTTGCAAAACACAACCTGGCAAATAAAATCAAAGGTAATATATCTTGATTTTGAAGTAATCATTCTACTTTGAAGTTGTAGAAAAAGTATTTCAAAGAAGAAGAACACAATTAAATATAAAAAGAGATAGAAACTAGGTTATTAACTACATTTCCTAGTTGCAGGCAGGGGAGCATATCCTCACTGCTAAAACTCTGCATTGCAGCAGCTACTGTTATTTGTCATAGCCATACTATGCAGCGAGTTAAATCCAGAAGTTATAGAAATGTATTTGTTGAGATCTAGATTAGATGATTGTAATATAACTTTGCATCATATTCATCTGGTATGAATGCAACATATGTAGAAACATATAGATTAAGAACCCCTATATCCTATTAAGAAAAGTAATAGCTACTTTGGCCAAGCTCATTGGAAGATTCACAATGGAGGCAGGTCACCAGAATGGAACTTAGAAAAATATAGACAAAGCAGAGTTGCATAATCCACAATTTACCCATTCTACAAAGTGTATTCATAGACCAGAGGGGCAAGAAAGATAAGACAGCCCAGAAGTCAATTCATGTTCCTACCAATGACCAGGATATGAAAATGCAAGTGACGTAGTTTAGGAATCAGCCATGGTATGGGACGTCATCAGGGAATAAATCCAGCCATTTAGGTTCTTTGAACCTAAGAATGACCAAGTCCAACAATGACCAATGTTCCTTCCAGCACTGGGAATTTGGAAAGCTGCCAACCACCCATACCATTAAGAAGCTGCCTAGTGCTCAATGAACCTATTCTAAATAAGTAGCAATTAAGGTGTATCCAGTCAATACTGAATATCAACAATCACTTACAAAAAGGACATTCAGTGATATGATATTATTAGAGGGAAGAGGAATATTCTTGGCCCTTTCTGGAATTGTTCTGCAGATGTTTTAAATGTGGCCTGTTATTTTTCTTTTATTTATTATAGTGATATGCCCATCCATCTCACAAGAAGCGAATCTGGATGGCATACTGCAAAACAAATCATAAAACAATAAACGTGCCAAACCCAGTCATATTAAACAAGTTAGAAAAAGGAGGACACACAAGAGATCTTACTGGGTCCCTGAAACCTCCAAGCAAGATGACAAACCAAGGTCTTGAGGGACTTCTGAAAAATAAGGGCATATGTAGCTGACTTCACTTCAGAGTGGAGAATGGTTTAGAAGGAGACAGGCAAACAATGCATCTGACAGAATGGAGAAGTAATATGTGTTGTTTCAGAAGCACACATGCCTGTGCCACTGCATTTTGCACAAGTGGAAACTTCCAGATATTCTTCCATTGCAGCCCCACATAAAGCACATTACAATACTCCAGTCAGAAGGTGGCTACAGAAGGAATAACTGTTAGCAGAGCCACCCGGTCCAAGAATCTGTGTAACTGATGCATAAATGAAACAGTGCAAATGCCCTCCTAGTCATGACTGCCATCTGCTCTTCTAGGAGTTGTGAGGTCAGGAGGACCCACAAATAGCATATTGGGTCTTTCTGGAGCCAATAACCCCATCCAGCACTGAAGATGGTGTTACATATAAACTGTTAACATGCCAGGTTTTTATGTTTAGATACATGGGGAGAGAGAAAGAGAGATGGAAACTTGCAGTACTGACAGTTGATGGTTTTACCATCAAATGTCATTTGCCTGGTCCAAGGGATGGAAAATGGGTGTTCAGATCGTTATGTCTACTCCAACAACATTTTCCTCTATAATTGTTCATTTTGACTTTTAATCTTTCTGTACTTCAATCAATGCCATCCTTGTGAGTTCAGCAATGTATTCTTAAGGCTTGTAGGAGATAATTCAAACATTGTATTACGGCCCACACATATATACCATGTTTCCCTGAAAATAAGACAGGGTCTTATTTTCTTTTGACCCCAAAATAAGCGCTTGGCCTTATTTTCGGAGAGGTTTTATTATTTTTGAGGTGCAGGAGGCAGCGAGCATAATCACCTTATGGCTGCTGCTGTGTGGCAATATTTTCAGGGAGGGCTTATTTTCGGGGGGGAGCTTATTTTAGCGCATGCGCTCAAAAGCTTGATTGGGCTTATTTTCGGGGAAACAGAGTATAATTTTTAGGGCATCTGACTCCCAACAAGTCTGGGAGGTCTTATGCCACAAAGGATTTTATAGATGAAACCAGTATCTTAAATTGCATTTGGAAGCCAATCAGTAACTAGAGCAGCTTGCAGAACAATGATGTCACATGGCCATAACAAGAAATGTCCATCACCGTACCACTGTATTCTGGAGTACCTGTAGATTCTGGGCAGTCTTCAAAGGCAGCCCAATAGAAAGCCCATTACAGCAATCAGTTTGTGAGCTAACTAAGATGAATGACTGAAATGCTTCTTGGTTCCTGGAAAGAATGTAACTGGTGCAAAGCACTCCTGATCATAGTTGCCACCTGCTCTTTACTGTAGATGTAATGAGGTGCAATGAATCCATAAGGATTCTCCAAACTGCACATCAGTCTTGAATAAGAAACTGCAATTCATTTCAAGACCAAAGACTGAAGATCCCAGAGCCAGGCCTCCAAAATATCTACAACCACTCAATCTTGTCAGGATTGGACCAGAGTGTATTCCTCCTCATCAGACCTACACAGTCTTCAGATACTAGGGCCTTGACAGCATCACCTTGTCGGCCTGGAATTGAGATGTATAATTGAATATCATCGGATATCTTTCTCATATTTTCTGTAATATAGCCTGAATTCTTTCATAAGAATAGCCAACTCTGAACCATAGTCAATTCTTCAAGGACCGCCCCCCCCCCCAATACACACACATTAATAGGATTATTGAATAAACTATAGCACATTAGAAATCTTATTGTAGAGACTGGGCTATCATTTGGCTGCTTTCAACAAACAGCTCTTCGGCTACCATCTGTTAGCAAAACAATTCTTGCTTCTGAATTAC